CGGGATGGCATAGTGATGGCGCAAAAATTTGGCGGTACCGTGATCTCCGAGACAAATCGGGCTAATGGAAGTCCGGAAGACCACTACGGTGAACCGGTGATGTCACGAAATTGATTTTACGCGTTGATGAATTAGTGATATATCTTCGAATGTACGATCTCAAAATTATCAAATTTAATATCTTTGAAATTAAACTAATTTATAGCAAAAATTGATATCTTCGAAATTGAATATATTGCAAAAATTAATCTTTGATATTTAATAGAAAATTAATGTCTTCGAAATTAAATATATAGCAAAAATTAATATATCTTCGAAATTAAATAATATTTGCGAAATTAAATCTTAATAAAGTATATTCAGAATCGTGTAAATTTGAACAAATTTCAAAATATATCGATATTACACATATTAGATATAATACTAATTAATATCTTGTAAATTAAATGAGTAATTAAATGCGAAATTAAAAGCCAAAATTAAAAAATTATTTGATATTTTTGCTTTAATATAAAAAGACGAAAGAATTTAATCATATCGTATCCTTTCTCTAAATTGAAATTGAAGCCTATTAAATTAAATTTGTTATATACATTTTATTAGATTTGAACTGCAAATATCTCGCCATTGTACACCATTTAGCCCCGTTACAATTCCTTCTATTTCTATACTTAAAACTGCTCATATTTACCATCACTATATTCGCATTTTATTTCCTCATTTTCATACTTTTAATAGTTATTTATCTTGTCGTTGCTGAATTATCTAGCTATTTCGCACCAATTGTGCCCATACGTTTAATAACTACTCGTATTTGCCATCGCTACGCTATCTAGTCATCTCCTCATTTCTATGCCTAAATAACTACTTTGCTATTAGTACTCTATCTAGTCGGTCATCTTCTTACTTCAAGAATTTTCATATTTTTTAACTACTCATCTCTGCTACGTTATCTGGCCATCTCCATACAATTCATTTTCTTATTTCTATATTCCAATAACTACTCAGCTTCGCAATCGCCACACTATATAATTATTCAGTAAAATTCCTTACCTAATTTCAATATTTTTAATTCAATAGTTATACTATCGAATATTATTATCACAACCCTTTCCTTACTTTAATAATCTTAATAAATTAAAAATATCATGGCCTCTTCTAATCGCGGAAAGAGATGCTCCCGCTGCGATAAATATAAAAATCTTGATGAATTTACTCGACCAATTGGAAGTCAAATAAAAGAAGGTTCCAACTGCAATGAATGTGCAAAACCTAAAAAGGAAAAAAAGCCTGAAGCTATTAGTGAACCAACGAGTGTAGAAAGTTTGAACATAACTGAAGATTACGTTAATGATGAATATGAAGACATAGCTTGGTTTAGTTTAACGGATATGGAAATCTTAATAGCTAACTGTTTTGAAAGTGAAGAATATAGTCGTGTGCGTTTTTCAGGGACTTTGAAGTTTGATGAAGATTTTGTCAATAATGTGCCTAGCGAAAATCAAGAGAGTGACAAAGAAGTTACTTATCGTAATATAGCTAAATCTCTTCTTGTATCTATCGAAGCTGGATCTCGCTATTACTGGGAATTAAGAAAAATCTATTCCCATAAGAAAAACAATCAATTAACTGGAGAAGCAACTATATATTTTGGCTGTGCTCAAAGAGAAGATCGTAAACGTACACACTCAGAAAGCCAAGCACCAAAAAGAATAAGTGAAGCGAGACCTCCAATAAATCGGTATTCATGTGAAGGAAATATTAAGATTAACCTTGATATTAATAAATATCAAGCAAATATAGAAATTGAACACTTAATAGCTCATGAGCATCCTACATATCGTGAGAGTAACTTACCACAAAACGCCATAGCCTGGATATCACGAAATGTACACAGAAACCTTAAAAAAATAGAATTTTATAGAAGGCTTGGTGAAGAAAAACTCATTAACCCAAATGTGCACACTTATCAACAGGTGTACTATTGGATTTTTAAGTTTTCTGCTCAGCAATATGTTACAAATATTTCCAACCAACTTCTTTCTACTCGTAATCTCTTGGCCCAAAGTGATCTAGTCGATCAAGGATATAAAATTCTATTATATATAGAAAACGACTTCGTTAGGTCTCTTGGATTTACTACTCCTTTATTTAATTACATACCAAAAAATGATATAAGCGAAATCCTTATAGATTCAACATTTAAGACTAACAATGAAAAATTTGAGCTCTTTGCTATCTTAAATAACCGTAAAGGATTCGGAGTTCCACTCGCGTATTTATATCTTCATACTTTCGCAGCACCAGTTGAATGCCTGCAAGATCCAAAAAATAAAATCCATTCGCGTGTATTAGTTCTAAAAGAATTCTTTTCCTTATTAAAAACTGAAGGGTATATATATATTTAATATTATAAATAAGTAATGCCAAATAAAAGCTTATAAGCAATACTTTTATACATTTTACAGGTTTAATCCTGCAAATAAAACAAAAGCATGAAGAGCATAAAACGTTATTTACAAGCTTTTATTTGGCATTACCTTTAGGTAAAAAAAATTTTTTTCTTTGGATCTAATTTCTTAAATAATCTAATATTATTATTGGTTTATATCTAGGATTCGGCCTAGCTTTATTCTTACGGATAAAGATGCTGGTGAATTAGCGGCTTTAGGGGTTTGGTCTCAAACAGCAAAAGTTCAACTTTGTTTGTAGCATATAGAGCATGCCATTAAAAGAAAGCTAAAAGAAAAAAATATAAAGCCAGTCAATATACGCAACAAGCAGCCAACGATGCTAAAAGACAATTCGAGTTTATTGACGAATTTTGGCTTCCTGGTGAACAAGAAAGTAACGTATGCCCTAAAGAAAATGTTAAAGAAGTTTTAAGAATGGTTAAGAAACATGCATTACTGCATCCTCTTATTCCAATCAACAAAGAAACATTTCTTACCTCAGCTGAAATATACCATCTTAGTGTTCACGAAGCATATGAATATTGTAAAAAGAAGAACCTTATTCATCTATGGGGCTATTTATGGGTCAATTGGTATAAAAAAAATTATTGGAACCTCTTTGCTCGGGCTTCCTATTCCAATGCATTACCATTAGCAAAAACCACTATGTTAGTAGAATCGCACTGGCGTGCTCTCAAACATAACTATAAATATAATACCAATCGACCTCGCTTAGATCGTTTAACGCACATTTTAATACAACAATTAATTCCTGATCGAATATATGACTGGAACAGATTTGATAACAATCGTGCATTTCCACCATGGTGGAATGCATTCAAAAGCAATTGGAAAACTACATTGGAAAAAGAAGTTAGCATAGAGAGAGAATATCTTACCGACATTAATAAATGGATTTGTTCATGCCCCGCATTCCTTGAAAATAACTACATGTTATGCAAACACCTCGTTAAAAACTATACCACTATACACCCAAATTTCTTCCCTAAATTTATGACCACAAGACGAAAACACGACTATCCATTTACCTACTTTGGCAAAGAATGTCTTCCAACCATTGATCCATCAAATAATCCCTGGAATAATGAAAATATTGAAGGTTTTGTAAGTGAAGTTGAAAGTGTAAGTGATAATATAGAATTAAATATTTATAACCAGAATGAATTGATTGAATTTAGAAAAGCTGAGCTAGAGGAGGATAAAAAAGTGTTTGAATCTTTAATAACTATCGTTTCAGAAAATATTCAAAACGATCATTTTTATGATGTATATGTAAAACTGAAACGAACCTTAATCTCTGAAACAGTAGCCTGTCAGGAGGCTTTAAGAGCTAGAAGGCAACAAAAAACCTGGGACCCTCCTCGTGGATCAAAACTTGCCTTCTGGTTGCAATAAGTAGTCATTGTAATCCCTATTTTAAAAAAAAGTTGTAATAAATTTATTCACGCTTTTTAGTTATACTCTTACGATTAAAAATTTCTTAATATAAATAAACATTATTACTTATTATTAGTAATAACACCAAACTGTAAAATCTTGGTTCAAAAAGTCTTTAAAATGGAACAGTAATTATTTGTTCTGTAACGAAAAAAAATTTTCTGCAAGGTGTAAAGCCTTGTGCAACAAACCCAGGGCCGATTTGAAATGTCGATCCACTCGGAGATCACGTTACCGCCAATTTTTTGCGCCATCACTATGCTACCCTCACTTAACTTGCCTATAAACCAACAGGAGGAAACGTTGATGTTACACGACTGATTTTACACACGGTGTGAAACACATAAAAAAATGATTTTACAATACTTGATCGGACTTGATCAGTCAGCTAGTACATGTTACGATTATAATCCAACATCATTTTTTAATAATAAAAAATGGTGTTGGATTATAATCATAACATGTACTAGCTGACTGATCAAGTCCGATCAAGTATTGTAAAATCATTTTTTTATGTGTTTCACACCGTGTGTAAAATCAGTCGTGTAACATCAACGTTTCCTCCTGTTCTATAAACCATACACTACGTACTTCGTACTCCGTTCCTGGTATTTCCTTTTTGGATAAAATGGGTACACCAAAGCATTACTCAACAAATCGAAATTCATAAGTTTAAACAAACTTAGAAATTACCCGAAAATAAATGTCAAGTAAAATGTTAATGTCGTTACGTTAAATAGCACTCGGGCGCTTTGTATAACATTTAGCTTATTCTCTTTTCTTTACTAAGTTTTCTTCTTTACTAATTTGCATTGCACACCTTTCTTTTGCTAAATTTGCATTACTCTGTTAACTAAATTGGTTATTGTGCGTCGTAAGTCTTTAAATTTATATATGTACTTCACTTGATCCCTAAATTTAGCCAATAAAACCCATTCTAACTATGATCTATGACGACACTTGCTCTATGCCATCTTTGTAACTTGTCAAAACGAGTAATTACTGTATAATAGATAGTGTCTTAATGTTTTGCTTAATATCGCTTGAATTCGCTTGAATTCGCTTGAGAAACAATTTACAAATATTAATTCTCCCTATTTGCAACTTACAATACAAATAGTCTAGGAATGGTCTAATAAGACGGTTGTATTTATTCTTCAATGCATTTATATACATAACGCAGTCTTGCATTAGAGAAAGAAACTTATTCGTGTTTAGAAAGAGCTCACTGCATTTAATTTCCTTTGCACCACTAACCGTTTTTCACTGCATACAGCATTCGACGTGACAAATAAATGTTGGCTATTTTTGAAATCCTATTTATATATGCATGTGATTCGTAAAAAAATGTATCACAACGATAATAATGCATTACTCATATTATGTTAATTATGCATTTCGAGAGATCTATAAATTGATAACGAAATCGCTTTTTTTTTCTTCATTCCTCTTTATTTTGAAATACCCTTTAATATTTCCTCTAATTTCTCCCAAAACAATCCTTAATATTTTCAAAAAAAAATCCTTCTTAATATTTTCTCTTAGTTTTCAAAGAGATCAACTTCAAAATGTCGAAAATTTACTTACTCTTCGTTGTTGCTTTAGTTTTTACTGCCCTTAGCCCTGTATTCACCCTGCCTTTGAATGAACGTCAGGGTATAGTTCTATGGTTTATTCAGGATTATTACATTTCTGATCGACCAATCAAGAAATTTTTCACATCTTGATGAAATTGGCTGATGTTAAATTTTGGCGTCAGTTGCGATTTATAAAATATACAATTAATATCATGAAGTTTTGTTTGTCAGAGCAAATTGTTGGCTATGTGCTGCGCAGCGACGCACATTTCAGCCAACCATTTGTTCCGACAGAACAAAATTTTTATGATATTTATCATCGCATGATCCAATATCGATGTTATCGTGCAATTATGATCATGATTTACAAGTCATTATTGGCTAACCGAGTTTTAATTCGAGATTGTTGTGCTTATGTAATAACGTACAAAAAATAACAAGAAGTAAAAAATCTATGTTCATATGAGTTTGGCCGATAAGAGACGTGATAAAACGAAATACCATCACTAATTAACGTTAAATATTAATCTAATTATATAATTACATATATGGACTAATTAAAATTTCAGCATGTGAGTACGAAATCGAAATTTATAATCCATATTTAAAAACTTCACTAATCAATTATATACGAATTAAATCCTTAGGGCTTCCTCGTGAGTATATAGCTAATTTATAGATTTAAAAGTTTAATAATTAAAATCTTATTAATCTAATTAATTATATATATGAATTAATTAAAATTTCATAGGTGAGTACGAAGTCGAAATTTATAATCCATATTTTATAAAAAAAAACTTCATTAATCAATTATATACGAATTAAATCATTAGCGTTGTGTGAGTATAATTTAATTTAAAAGTATAGAATTTTAATAATTAAAATATTATTAATTTAATTAATTATATATATGAATTAATTGAAATTTCAGTCCGTAAGTGCGAAATAGAAATTTATAAATCCATAATTAAAAACCTTCACTAATCAATTATATACGAATTAAATCAATTATATATGAATTAAATTATTAGATTATTGTGATCGTGAGTATCAAGCTAATTTATAAATTTAAAATTTTAATAATTAAAATCTTATTAATCTAATTAATTATATCATTAGGGAATAACGAAATTAAGAAGGTTGGTGAGTATAAAGCTAATTTAAAATTTTAATAATTAAAATCTTATTAATCTAATTAATTAATCTAATTAATTATATCATTAGGGAATAATGTGAAGATTGGTGAGAATAAAGCTAATTTATAAATTTAAAATTTTAATAATTAAATCTTATTAATCTAATTAATTATATGAATTAATAAAAATTTCAGTAGGTAAGTACGAAATAGAAATTTATAATCCATGATTAAAAACCTTCACTAATCAATTATATACGAATTAAATCAATTATATATGAATTAAATTATTAGTGTCTTGTCTTCGTGAGTATCAAGCTAATATATAGATTTAAAATTTTAATAATAATTTTATTAATTTATTTAATTATATATATATATATTAATTAAAGGTTGTGAGTAACGAAATCGAAATTTATAATCCATAATTAAAAAATCTTCACTAAACAATTATATACGAATTAAATTATTAGCGGATCCGAGTGAGTATAAGAATAATTTATAAATTTTAAAAATTTTTAATAATTAAAATCTTAATAATCTAATTGATTATTTATATAAATTAATTTATAATCCACAATTTTAAAAAAAATTTCATTAATAATTATTAGCGAGTTGTAGTGGTAAGTATCAAGCTAATAAAGAAATCGAAATTTATAATCCATAATTAAAAATTTCACTAATCAATTATATACGAATTAATTATTAGTGCCTGGTTTTGGTTGTGAGTATAAAGCTAATTTATAGATATAGAATTTTAATAATTAAAATATTATTAATCTAATTAATTATATATATGAATCGAAATTTATAACTAATAATTAAAAAAAAAACTTCACTAATCAATTGTAAACGAATTAAAGCAACAGAGGCTACTACGAGTGAGTATAAGTTAATTTAAAAAATATAGAATTTAAAATATTATTAATCTAACTAATTAATTATATTTAAATTAATTAAAGCTGGTGAGTTACGAAATCGAAACTTATAATCCAAATTTTTTTTAAAAAAAAACACTAATCAATTATATACGAATTAAACCTATTATATATGAATTAATTAAATTAGTACTGACTTGTGCCTGTGAGTATCAAGCTAATTTATTAATTTAAAATTTAATAATAGAAATAAAAAACTTTACTAATCAGTTATATACGAATTAAATCATTAGGGAAGGGTGTGGAAACAAGTAAGTATAAAGTTAATTTATAAAATAGAATTTTAATAATTAAACCGTTATTAATCTAATTAATTATATATAAATATAAATTAAAATTTCAGCATGTGAGTACGAAATCGAAATTTATAATCCATAATTAAAAACTTCACTAATCAATTATATACGAATTAAATTATTAGTGAGTTGTGTGAGTGAGTATCATATCAAACTAATTTATTAATTTAAATTAATCTAATTAATTATATATATATATATTAATTGAAAAAATACTTAACTAATCAATATTATATATGAATTAAATCATTAGAGTCTGGGTCTAGTTCGTCTAATCGTGAGTATAAAGCTAATTTATAAATATAGAATTTTAATAACTGAAACATAATTAATCTAATTATATTTAAATTAATTAATTAAAGGTGGTGAGTATGAAATCGAAACTTATAAACCATAATTAAAAAAACTTCACTAATCAATTATATACGAATTAAATCAATTATATACGAATTAAATCAATTATATATGAATTAAATCAATTATATATGAATTAAATCATTAGCTACTTGTGTGAGTGAGTATCAAGCTAATTATAAATTTAAAATTTTAATAATTAAAATTTAATTAATCTAATTAATTATATAATATTAATTAAAGCTGGTGAGTAATGAAATCTAAATTAATAAATCCACAATTTTAAAAAAAAAAACTTCACTAATCAATTATATACGAATTAAATTATTAGTGACTCCGAGTGAGTATAATGCTAATTTATAAATTTTAATAATTAAAATAATTAATTATAATTAAAATTTCAGCAAGTGAGTAAGAAATAACTTATGAATTTAAATTTGTAATTATTTGATCTATAATTGAATGAGATTTCTCTTAAATAAATAGCCGCTGCCACTACCAGTACTCCTGCCCCCTAACACTCCAATAGCCGTCGTTAAAATGGTGAGTATAATTTGTAGATTGAAATTGATAATAGTCAAATTGACTGACTAAAAAGGGAATTTCTATATTGATTATTTTTATAATACGGAAATATGTAGTATAAGAACATATTTAC